GGCGCCGGGGGCCCGCGGGGCCCCTGACCAGCCTCTGCCACCCTGCCCAGGACCCGTGTCAGCCCCCCAGGTCATCAGCCCTGCCCCAGGGACGCTGCAGCAGGGCAGGGCCCCAGCTCCCACAGCTCTGCCCTGCCACGGGGCTGCGTCCCGGCCCAGCCCCAGGCCCTGCTCTGCCACCCAGGGCTGAACCCACCCTCGTCCCCTCCGCCAGGCCTCACCAGACACACCTTGCCCTCAGCAGATCCCAGGCTCTGCCTGATGGACTTGGTTTTCCTCCCCAGCCCCAGCTGCTGAGCCTGTGTTCGGAGAGCCAGAGAGGGGAGCACCGAGGGATGTCCTGCTGTCTCCCCAGGAGGGATGTCCTGCTGTCTCCCCTGGAGGCCCAGCAGCCGTGGGGGGCTGCCAGAGCCCTGCTGCTCTGGGGCTGCGACCCAGCCAGGCTGTGTCCCTGCCACAGGGCAGGGCGCTCGAAAAGCCCTCTAGCCTGACACCTCCACTCATACAGCTGCCTTCTGTCTTGTGCAGATGCTTCTGCGTTGTGTTCCAAAGTGCCAAATCCCACTTCCACCCTAAACCACCAGCTGTAAGTTCCTGTGGCTTGTAGCAGCGCTGCTCATCTTGCCCCTACATGCTCTGAAATGGTGTTGGGGGAAAAAAAAGCACGTTTCATAATGTCTGCTGTCTTGTTGTGTGAAGCAAGTCATCATTTTGTTCAGTGGTACCTGGAAAAATTAATTCACGCTGGTATTATAACATTACTGTCTTTTATTGAATACAAAAATATCAATATCTTAATTTTTAAAATAACTTCCAAACCTTTTCTGGGCATGAAAATAAATGGATTGCATGCTATAATACTCTCATAGCTTCTCATTTGCAGGAGCCAAAAGTGGTGACTATAGTGCTTTTATAGGGTCAGATTTTCTAGATCCCCATTGCTTTCAGTGTGCTGTACTGATCTTTCTAATAGCTGGGAGATAACTGTGTATCTCTCAATGAGAAAGTGCCATCAAATTAATAGGTAATTCAAGAAATAGCAGGGAAATAACTTTCAAAGACTTGAATCTGATAAAATGTGAGTTTTGAATTATGCATTATCACAATTGCCTGTCTTCATGGAACATTAGCCTAATCCCTGATGCTAAGTGTATGTACCAATTCCCAACCTCCGC